TCTGTCCTAGAATGTAGCCTAGAATACTAGATTCTTGTTACTAAGGGCAGTCCATGTGTAAGCAGCATCAGTAATGTTTGAGAGCTTATAAAAAAATCAGAACCTTGGCTTGTACTGGACTACCAATCTGCACTTTCACAAGACTTCCAGGTAATTCCAAGGCACACTACAATCTGAGAAGCACTGCTGTAGAGTATGTGTGTCCCTCATGCTGTCTTTCCTGCTCTCACAGCCATGTGTTTATAGCTTGGATTGCCTCTAGGACTGAGGAGCATATTGTTACAAATGACATGCTTTCCAAGTTAACTCAGATATGTTTGTCAATAAAGTTTGAAGAGAAGCTTTTAGTTGTGGATTTATCTTTTCCTAAAGGAAATGTGAACTGGCATATGTTGAAGGAACCAATAGAAAGGACCCACAGGCAGGTAACAGAAGGAGAGCTCCTCTGTGTGTGGCGTGAGACAGGTGTGGAGACAAATCCCCGAGTGCAGAGAGCACTTGCCTTTTTTAACGAGTTACCAGGTGATGGATGCCTCTCCAGAGGATCCTTTGCTTCCCAGAGGGAAAAAAGTATAATTGAACTTATAGACTGTTCTTTCTACTCAACAGCAATGTGTGTGAGAGCTCCAAAGGACAGAGGCTATTAAGTTCTAGTGAGCAGGCTAGACTCTCAGTCAACTGGGGTTATAGGTTTTTGACTTGTACCTTCTTATTAATATTCATTAGATTTGGATATTACTAAATCAATGGTGTTTTATTTTTAAACTCCTAAATTTTTACTTGTAGTTTTATGTTAACTATTTTCTTAAGATTTTTTTTGTCTTTTTCTATGTTCTCCCCTTTCCTTGTACTAAGTTGTCATAATGGGTTATCCAAAGAACCTTTTTCTAAAAATTAAATGTTATATATGTTTACTACTGAATAAAATACAAATATCATGTAAAGTAGAAGTTTGAAAAGAGATCAGTGGATACCAGAGACTGCAAGTGGTGGTGGGGGGGGGCAGGGGGGAGGCTGAGTACAAAGGGGCATGAGAGAATCTGGGGGGTGGGGTGGGGAAATAGAACTGTTCCATATCTTGATTATGGTGGTGGTTACCCAAATTTATGCATTTGTCAAAACTCATAGAACTGTACGCTTAAAAAGGGTAAATTTTAAAGTTTGTAAGTTATAACTCAGTAAGAAAGATAGGGGGTGGGAAGTTCCAATCTGCAAACAAATGAAAATAATTACACTGAGTTCCATAGGAATGGAATGGTGGTGGAGTGGGGGTATGTTCTTACCTTTTAGAGGCCACAAGGCTTTTAGTCTTTAGAGCCAGTGGGACTGAGTTCACCCTGTAAGTTACAGAATTCTCTGTTGCCTCAGTTTCCCGGTCTGTCAATTGAGTTAACAGCAGTATCTACTTAATGGAGCTACTGTTAGGATTAAACAATGATGACAAAACAGAGGAAAGGGCACTGAAAATTTGAGGCTTTGTAATGGGAGAAAGTATCTGATTTTTCCCCCTCACCTCACTCTTGATGAGGTCATCCTTGTCTCTGCTGAAAAATAGTCTTCATCACGAATCCCCCCCACGTAACTCTGCCCAACCTGCCATGTCAGGCAGCCACTGCTGAGTAAACACCCTGGAATGAACCTTAGAGAGAGAATAAATCACCTCTCATGCCATGCTCCCTCCAGGTGAGGACTGAGGTCATTGCAAGAGGCATAACAAATAGTCGACATAATGTACTAAACTAATAGATTCTATAAGGAAAACTAAATGGAAAATTTTTCTTGAGTACCAGGCACCTCTGGCTGAAGAGATAGTAGAGCCAGTGTTATTATAGATGTAGTTGAATCAATAATACTTTTTCATTCATTTTTCAAAACTGCCTATTTTAACCAGCAGAGAGGTAAGGAGATATTAGATATTGTCAAGGGCAATTTTTCATTCTCACATGGATTATATTCTGGGACATTGTTCTTCAAAATAGCTCCATTTCTGTTTTTTTATTTTTTCTCTCAGAAATGTACTCAATTTTCTTCCAGCAGCGTGAATTCATCTAGAAAGCTATGACAATCAATTAAGTAAATGGGAAAATAGAATGCTTGTAATTATGATAATCAAGCTATATGAAACCCACTGTCTTAGGTCTAATACCCACACATCTTTAAGCAATATATTAATTAAACTTTGGCTAATGGTTAAAATTAGAATCAAGCTTTTATAATTCTTAAAAATCACTCAGAGAGAAAAAGAAAATATTTGAGAAATAATATGCAGCTGTTGGTTTTCAAAACAATTCATCATCATGACTATGTTGTCATTTCCCTGGATCATGGAGACAATTCCAGTATGCTTTATTGATGTGACAATTGGAGGAATTTTGTAGAGAGCAAAATTTTTAGAAGTTTCCCTATTCCTGTAAGTAAGAGGTTGGCAAACTTTTCCTGTAAAGGACCAGATAATAAATATTTTAAACTCTGAACAAGAGTGAAAGTTGAAGCTACATGAGTGTACTTAGATAACAAATTTCTACAGTTTCTGCACTGATGGAATTAAAAACATAATAAAACGATAAATGAGTACTTTTTTTTGGCAATACACATCTACTAATGAGAAGGGCGAACTTCTTTCTACTGAGATAGTATTTTGCTTAGTTGGGGTTCAATGTTAGTGTCCCCTATGATCAAGTCATTGCAAATGTTCGTCCTAAAACCATGCTTAGCTCCTAGGCAGCAGGCTAGTTGTGGTTCAGAGAGCAGTTTGCTAATCCCTGGTCTTGATCAGTGTTTTCCTCTTCAATGTGCATTAGAATCACCCGCAGGGCTTGTTAAAACAGACTGCGTAGCCACCCCCCATGTTTCTGATGGGGTATTTCTAATAAATTCCCACTTGACCCTGATGCTCCTAGCTTGAGACAATACTTGCAGAACACTGCTCTTGATGTCGGGCCTTTTAAAAAGCCACATTGAACACAAATCTATCTATTTTACATTTTCATCATTTACATATTTCAGCTCACCTGTTAGATTCTACCTTTTTGAACTCCAAGGTACAGGGGTAGTATATCCAAAGTTGAATTGCCATTAAAAAGTAAAGAAGACCTATTTAGTGAGATTGGGATTGATAATAAAAAGAACTTGTCTCTTAAATAGCTGTTACTCTCTTGCTTATGGTGTCAGGCATCAGCAATCAGCATCTACTTGTTTGCCGCAAAGAATACCATTTTTCCAGCCTATCAAATTTTTTAAATAGTATGCAACATTCCAAAGGATATATGTGGGTGAAACATAAGAATGACAGTTTTGCCTTAGATTCAGTGTGTACTAACTCACCAAGCACATTAACAATATAAAGCTCTCTGGGTAGAATTTGTTGGTATGTTCAACTCATAGAATTTAACACAAAAAACGTTCCTGAAGCCACCAAGAGGCAAGGGAGATATCAGCTTCCTAATCTGGGAGTTGCCCCTGGCCTACTAGACCAAGTCAACTCTGAGTTGACTGTTAGGTTGCCCTGGGCTGTCAGGGATGAACTCTGAATGGCTTGAACTATGACCTAGATTGAGGTTGTGAACAAGGTTAATGATGCCAAGGCATCGGCGAATGGTAATGATCACCTCTCACCAAAAATATTCTTTCAGAAAAGAAGCAAAGTGGAAAATATGTTCTCCTTCTGTTTATTTATCCCAATGGTTTAAAAAATCAGCTTTATGGAACCATAATATTCCTCAGGACAGATGGGCTTACACATTAGCATCGTGCTTTCAATCCACAGTTTACATTTCAAGAGGAAGGTGAAGAAACTGAATGTAAAGACATCGTCAGCATCTATTTGTCACTTTTAGTTTTATGACATTGATACAAAAAATAGTATTCTGATTAGCAGCTTGATTGGCAACCCATGTAACCCTAAACAGTACTACAAACCTGGAGAGTGCACTTTTACAGACAATTACATTTGGCGAAATAGTATGTACAATTTTGACAAATAAATACATAAATACAATCATTCATATATAACGATATACCTAAATGTCAATTATCATCAACAAGTGTTTCTAGTAAATTACTTCTTTCATTCACAAGTTACGTTTTTGCTTATAAAAACTATCTTCACCTTTACCGAAGAAATCACATCATCAATCCCCCCACTAAACCCACATATTAGGAAAGGTAGAAAATGAATCCCAGGCGTTTTATGTAAATGTTCCATTGTCTTTAGATAGAAGAGATTTCATTGAAAAACTCCTTCCTTAGCATCTCTGTAAAGAGTTTGTTGTCCCTATATCATATCACACAAAGAGGTGTTTTTTTTCTTCTGAATTTAATCCAAATAAAAAATGATCTTCATTTTTATTCTAGTATTTAAAAATACAATATTATATATTGAAACTGGCATTTGAGTCAATATAAGAAGACACAAAGCCACACAATCTAGTCACCAAAGATAAAATTTTTTTCCCAAAATAAATTTAAGAAAGAAAATGTAAGAATATAGACACTAATCATTAATACCTTTTGTTATACAATGCAAAACGAAAAAAAAAATGTATGGGGACAGTCAGAAGGTTTTTGTAAAAACTGTTTGAATGACTCCAAGTACAATACTGTCTGAAATATTATTTTATATCAGAGAAATGATAATAATTTTTTTAAAAAATGGCATCACAAATAACCGAAACCATAATTTGGACAGTGTCAAAATTAACAAAAGTAGAAAATTAGAGCATTTTCTGATCACTTTGACTGAAACATTTTTTGAACATTCAAAAAACAAAGGCAAACATGCTTTACGCTATTGCAACTGGACAAATGGCCTTGCCTCACCAAGCTCCATGCAGAAGAAAATGTACCCAGCAAGCACATTCTAGCTATGCGTAATGGTGGGGAGAAGAAAAAAACGCCTTTAAAATATATACATACGGTCTTTGATGAATATTTACATGTTTGTCACATGGGCACTACCTAGCATAAAAAAGTTAGGAAATAGTTCTTTAAGACATGCTCCTTTTAAAGATTAGGGCTCTATTCATAACACACACACACACACACACACACACCCCAATTGATAGATGTACATATATGATGTTTATAGCACGTAATTCCTTGACACCAATGGTGACTTGAGTCAGCATAAGGTGAATGCAAGACGGTAGTATGAGACAGAGGCTTGACTCAGCCACATGACTGAAAGGTGAACCACGTACAAAGTCATGAGACCTCTGCAGTGACTGGAATTCACAGCAGTTAAAGGAAGGGTGCGGTTGGAGGGTGGCTCACCTGTGCTAATCCATCTCTCCCCAGTTCTTACAGTTCTGATGACTGTGAGATGAAGATGTAGTAAGGGACCGGGAGGCCTGTCTCACATTGGGTTCTTCTGGGGCTGGGGATGAGAGATCCAGTGTTTTCAGTAAATAGGCCATGACTTCCATTTATTCATTTTGTCTACCTGTTTGCTACCAACTTCTAGGGGGGCTTCCAAAGGTCATATTAAAAAAAAGATATACTCTTTCAGTTGTGGGCCTTCCTTTGAATGAAAACAAAGTTTTCTAATGAGTGATAGAAGTTGTGGAATGTGTGGTTTGCTGAGGGCCTATTCTTCCCATAGAAGTGGACTAGCTCCACTGATCCTCACAGTTCTGACTGAGACTTCAGATCAAGTCTCAAGTTTCCTGAGATCTAAGTTGCTGTGATACATTTTGCAAAGCATGTGCTTCAATTGCTCTAATATACCCCTCGCCAGAGGCTCCTCCCCAAAGAAAGCCAGCTGCCTTCCCTTTCAGCATCCTGGGAGATCAGGGCAATGCACTGAAATAATAACTTATTCATTGAAACCAGAATGAATGACAGAGAAATCGAAGCTTCCACAAACAATTAACATCTCCAAGGAAAAGTTTTAGAAGAATCAGGTGCAATAACAGTTCATATCTAATCTTTATTTTGGCAGATTTATATTAAAATGATGTGACTACTACTTCTGACCATCATTTTAGCATTTAGCATAATGCATGATACGTTGCATTACGTAGCACCTTTTAAACCAAGGATCTCAAAATACTTAGAAAATGAGATTTGCTCTCACAGCACCTGTGAGGTAGGTGTTTTTTCCAGCCATTTTATAAATGAGCGTATTTGAAGCACAATAAGGTAAAGATACCTGCTTACATGACCCAACTGTATTATGGCATCAGTAGAACCTGAACTCAAGCTTCCCCCTCTTCTTTCCCATGAACCCCAATTACAGAGCCTTCAGAACATTCCTATCAGCAAGGATGATAGAGGTACTTGGATGTTTCGAATATTAGAGAGTATTATATCTCTTAGCTGTAGGGCTAAATCATTCAATAACGTTGGTATCTGCTAATAAAAGATTTTTCTCATGTACTTTGCAAATGTGTGGGAAGGACATCTTATACGATTGCTAAGCTTATGTGAATTATAATGCATATGTAAATTTGTATTTTCTCTGTGTGATTTATTGTTCTTCTGGCCTCCCACCAACTTATTTCTACACATGTGCCTGCTTGAGACAGAAACTGTAAAATGCATTTAGCTACATGATGTAGAGGGTAGCAGAAACGATGACATCTGGCAAAATCGCCTTGGAGGCACAAGTCATGTGTGTTCGATGAGCAAGCAAAATCATCTTCCAAACATACAAAGTATTTGATTCTTAAGTTTAAACTTCCATTTATTTAACTGCAGCCTCCCTGCAAGTACTACTAGTAAGTTCATTTCTTGTTGGAACCACAGATACTGTACACATGATGTGGTAATGTATGTAAAAATTCAATGTAACAGCACACACAATACTAATCATTCGCATCCAGTGTGTCTTCCTAACTGTGCATTACTTCTGAGTTGTTTTTGAAAAGGAGTTATTTCTTTACTTCTGCAGAGATGCAATGAAGACATTTACTATGAGTTTCAGTTTCCCAGAACCAGATTTGTATCTCAGACGCACAGTATGGAAATCCTAGCAGTTGGTAGGAAGTTGCTTTTTGAGATAAATGCAAGGCCTTAGGACCTGAGAATAAAATCTGGCCCTTCTCACTTATGCATTGTTTCTATGATTGGAGCCTAATGCTTGTAAATTGGCAATCCAAGAAAGGAACTAGGAGCGGGAAGAAAACGCTTTTTACAAAACCCCTTCACCAGTTCACTTCTCCTGGTGACACCTGTAAAATACCAACACCCAAGCCCCGTTTCTTAAAAAAGAAATGTATTTACACTGGTAAAAACCCTAACATCTGAGATGCTTCTTGCTTGACATGTCATTCCAGATTCTGTGCATCTCTTCCGGAGAGATCTGATGCACAGTGATAACTCGGCGGTACCTACACAAACTGTAGGCCATTTTCCAGTGATTGAAGCCACTGTTCTGAAAAGGATGAATGCCCAGCTTGCGAAGACACAGTCCTACATAGACGTCTTCCAGGTGAAGCAGCCTTGTGTGGAGTGAGGTCTTGTAAATGAGTTCAGCCACATCGGCTGAGAAGATATAGCCAGTCCCCGAACAGAACGGCGGGTAGTTACTGTCAGGGTACAAATCCCTGGGCATGTACCACTTACTGCGGACGTCCCGGATGGGCCCTCCATTGATGACATAGCCAGTAAAATACCTCCTTCTTGGTTTGGTGGAGGGTTTTAGTAGTTTATAAATAAGATTGTCCATGTTTACAAAAATGTCACTGTCTGTTTTCATGACATACTTGGCTTTTGAACAAAAAGTGGCCACCCATCTCATCCCCATCAGTGTTTTGAGGGTAAGGTTATGGTAGGAGTCGATGAAGTCCTCCACGATGATGTCGTGGAAGATTTGGCTCTCTTGCTCCACCATCTGATTCAGAACAGGATCGGCGTTCTTGCCCAGGAGGAACAGCGTGGCGATCTTGATCCCTTTAAAGCTGTTCTCGTCCCCCCATGTCTCTCGGATGGCCTGGCGGGCATCAAATTCTTTGTGGGTGGTGCTGATGAGGATAACAAGGAAAGGAATGTTTTTCTCACATTTGTTGGGCTCATTTATAAGAAATTCAAAAGAATGTGGGTTTATAGGTCGAGTTCTTATGTTGCCAAACGTGAAGTTTTTCCTGGCAACTGTTAGGTGGCTGAATGGCTTGGAGCCAGAGTAGGAAGAAGTAGGACGAGTTACGCTCAAGTACCAGAGAGCGCTGGCCCAGCACACAACTGTCAAAACATACAGACAGGACACCTTTGAAGCCATGGTTTTGAGAGCACGACTATTCCAAATACTGAAGAATATGCCTTCTTGGCATTAGTTTCTTTTCATCTCGCAAAGGTAGCATATTACTAGTTAATCTTAAAGTTCGATAGAGAAGTGTGAGTGTAGCATTGTCCATGGGTCTTAGTGGCAGTCTGCTATCACTGCATTCATTTTACTTTCTTCCAACCCTGATCGAAGGCTTCATGCCTCATAGATCTTCCTCTTAACTCTGCAAAATCAATAAAGTAAAGTTGTTCAGATTTATGAAGTCATTTCATATTCTCACATAAACATAGTATGGGTATAAGAATTGCCCACGATGACTAAAATAAACATAACCATTTCCTCAGTACTGAAAACTTCCCGACACAACCATCCTCCCCTTTCTTCCCTTGATAGAAGGGGTTTATGGATAATCACACCCAATAACAAATATATAGATTATGAACTCTAGATGAATATGCAGTAAATGGAACATTAGTAACTAAACAAGTTTCCTTCTCTTCATAGGTGGCCTTCTTTGCAGTTAAACACCTTCTGACACTAAAGTCTTCTTTCATGCAGGAAAGTCTCACACAGCCTTGTATATCTTTTCCATTTTTCCAACTCTGAGTTTTTGTTGGCTTGACTGTGGTGAAGACATCGTTGTAAACATCTCTTTGCTTTCTCTAGCCCTGTATGTGAAAATGTGTTGATCACCACTGAAAAATCTCTGCTAAAATGGTCTCCTTTGGTTCAGATTTAGAAGCAATTCCCAAATTTTCCTCACTTTTTCTTTACTTTGGCTCTCACAAATGATGTTAGTTCCTACTTCTCAGTTTTCTATGATGCCCCATATGGAGAATATTTTACTCCTCAATCATGAAGACCACCACACAAGTGTCTTTTCAGACAGTGGGCATTATTCATTTTGGAGTTGATCTAAATGGTACCACATTTTGTGGTTTTCAACAATTCACCTTGATGTTCCCTTGATGAAATTATACTGCCCCTTTTAATATTTTTTACTTAGTTATACTTAACCTGCAAACATATCAGGAATATAATAAGAGAGACAATTGAGCTTGGGAGTTGTGACATAGCCCTTTAATTGGTGTTCAAACAAAAAAGTTGTCCGTTGCCTAGCTGGTGTGGCTCAATGGTTGAGCATCATCCCTTGCACCAGGATGTCATGGTTCGATTCCTGATCAGAGCACATGCCAAGGGTTTTGGGCTTGATCCCCAGCAGGAGGTGTGCAGGAGGCAGCCGGATCAATGATGTTTCTCTCTCACATCGGTGTTTCTATCTCTCTCTCTCCCCCTCTCCCTTCCTTTCCCTCTAAAATCAATAAAAACATATATTTTTTAAAAGTTGTCCTTTGGAACTCAGATCTTTTCTAGAACTTCAGCTGCTATCATGCCAGGTAATATATGCCAAGTTGCAAAGTCCATTCATGTAAAAAATTGTCCCTTCCTAGCTAGAGCAAAATGTGGTAGTCCTGGAGACAGAGATAACAGATAATGGATATCCATTTCAACAGAGTCTGCTTCAAAGAAGACTGTGCACTTAAATGTGTAGACTATGTTGAAAACATTTAACTGGGATTATAGACTAAATATCAGGCTTCTAAGCACAATAGTCATAATGAAATGAAAAGACATTTTGAGCAACAGCAGAGATAATACATATCTTCTTGTCTAAGCCAAGAGCTGACTGTGAATATATGATACATATGAGGCCAGCAATGCCCAGTGTGGTTATGGTTCTAACTAAATAAATATTAGAATGGCTTCAAGCAGCATGACTCTAGGCATAGTCAGCCTTCTCACATTGGGAATACAGATATCACTTCCATTTGAAATCCAAAGGGATGTGAGTGAGTCTCAAGAGGGTACTAGAAACCAAACTTTCTCCACCATTATTCTAGTCTACTTAGCTGATTCTTGTTAGCTTATCTTTATCCATAGATAGCCCTTGTTGCCTTTCATACTTTCCGACAAAATTCTGAGCCACCTATTACTAAGCTGTTAAGGTACTCAAAGAGTCTCATCTGGAAATGGCTCTTCTCTACTGGAAATTAACAAGGTTACTGATGGAGGATTAATCATGTATAAGAGGTATTGGGGAAACAGAAATAGAAACCATATGCCTCTTCAAGGAACTCACAGGCTATGTGAAAAGACTTCAAAGAAGTGGTTAAAACAGTGGAATAAAAATTTCCATCATCAGGCTCCTGGGGTGCACAGGAAAGGTGGGCTGGTGGACAGGATGTGAGAGAACCAGGAACAGTCCTGCAGACTGTGCACAGTACAACTCCAGAGCCCAGCATTCTCACAGACTGCAACAGGAATCCTCACTCCTCCATCCATCCTGGAGTCAAATGATGATTAGCCCTGGGGAGGGTACCATGGAAAATTCAGAATAGTTATCTGAGCTGAATCTTCAAGGACAACTAGGAGTTATCTGGATGAGAGCTGGGCATTCTAGGTAAAGGGAACAGTAAATTCAAAGGCAGACATGAGAGAAGTGTGTGCCAGGAGTGCAGACAGTGAAGTGAAGGAAGAGGACAGGTGATGTGGATGAGGGTGGGAATGGTGAGCTTTGGGGCTCCTGAGATAAGCAGAGGTCAGATGGTGAGTGGCACTCAGAAATTGTTCTGAGCTGAGTAGCTGGTTACCCATCTTTGCAATCTAAAGGGGGTAAGGGAGGGTTTTACTTTACCCAAATCCTACCCACTGATTTCAATAGCAATTCATTCTTCCACATTAAGGGTTTCTTTCTCCCACAGTTCTATGTCCCAGAAGGGTAAGTGAGTTTGTTTTATCCGATACCTTTCTGTGGACTTTCAGGGGTGGGGGGAAGGGATAGACTCCATAAACACAGGTACCAGGAGATTTAGAAAGAGCTAAAAGAGGGAGAAATAGAAGAGAAATAGGTGAGATCATGAACAAGTTTATGTATTTATAAACACTTTTCATTGAAGAATAAGCAATTTTCCCCAGACAGCTAACAAACTGATACTTCATGCCATTGCTATTGTAGGCCTCATTTTAAAATGTGGATGTACACCAGGCACTGTGTGGTATTCTGTACCACACATTTTATAGAGCTTCATTCCCTACGGTGAATTGGGAGGTATTTTCTCAATTTTCCAGATGACAGAAGTGAAACTCGGAGAGATGAAGTAGCTTGCTCAAGATCACTCAGCTAATGAGTGAGTGGTGAGTGGTCATTTCAAGCTTCCTAAGGCCTGTTAGGACATGAGGTGAAATCTTAGATGGGGAAGCCCAGGGTCCAGGGAGCATCTCAGGCTGCTGGTCTCCCGGGGATCCATATGTTCATTTTCTGAGATGTGTGCTCACTGCTTGGAGTTTTTTTCTAGTTCATTTTGGTTTGCTACGCACACACTACAGCAATTCTGTAGGGGATTCTTCATCATGAAAAAATGATGACTTGCAAAGAGCACTTTAAATCTTAAAGATGCTGGGGGTGGCGAGAGAGCTGCAACCATGGAAGAGGTTCAGAAACACTCTGCAGTTCCTTTTCTCTGAAGCCCTGAAACACACACACACACACACACACACACACACACACACACTGAAAGAATCATTCTTTCCATTGACTTTATTATTCAAACATGAGAAATAAAGTAGGCACAGTATTATACTTTGGTCACTAGTTAATGCAATTATCACCTATAAAAAGAGAGGATGGAAATGGGACAAGGAACCAGCCTAGAAACTGAAGAGCAGCCCAGGATAACGATAAAAGGCTGCTAAAAATGTCCCTTTTGCCTACAACAGAACAGATTTTTCAGGTGCACAAACAAGTACAAATACAGGGTGTCCCCCCGAAAATGTATACACATTTTTTAAATATATATTTTATTGATTTTTTACAGAGAGGAAGGGAGAGGGATAGAGAGTTAGAAACATCGATGAGAGAGAAACATCGATCAGCTGCCTCCTGTACACTCCCTACTGGGTATGTGCCCGCAACCAAGGTATATGCCCTTGACCGGAATCGAACCTGGGACCCTTGAATCTGCAGGCCGACGCTCTATCCATTGAGCCAAACCAGTTAGGGCTGTATACACATTTTAACAGTTGCTAGCTCAATTTTGAAAATGAAATGTATTTTAATAAACACTGTCTTTATAGTTATTCAAAGTGTGTGTATACATTTGTGGGGACCCCCTCTATATGGCTCTTGACCAGAATCAGTAATATAAGGAAAGAGACAAGAGAGTAACATGGTGCATTTAACTCTAGAGAGTAATTGCTTATCTGTTGGATGAAGTAGTTGGTAATGGGCCAGATGTCCGCATTTTACTCTGTGAGCAATCCTAAATTGTTATGCGGCTTTCTGTGCCTCTGTAGTCTTAGGAATAAACTAAGGGCAAGAATAACATCTGCTTAATCTCCAAACACATTATAGGCATTAATGACCATTGCCAATTGCTTGAGTTTCTGGGGGAAGGGTGCCGTATAGACAGATGGTATTATGATACAAAGAGCAGGATCTGCTCTGGCCAGGTCACTCACTTGGCTGGAGTGTTGTCCTGTACACCCAAAGGTGGTGGGTTCAATTCCTGGTCAGGGCACATACCTAGGTTGTGGGTTTAATCCTGGGTTGGGGCACATACAAGAGGCAACCAACCAATAGATGTTTCTCTCTCACATTGATGTTTTTTCTCTCTCCTTCTCTCCCTTCCTCTCTCTCTAAAAATTAATAATAATAAAAAAACAACAACACATATCCTTGGGTGAGGATTTAGAGAGAGAGCGAGAGAGAGAGAGCAGGATCTAATGGGGATGAGGGGATTATGTCAGGACACCAGGTCATGATTTGGGATCTAAAGCACATATATCAATAGATTCTTCTAAATATATAGGATTGGTATCAGTTCCTTGGTTTCTTTGCCTAGGTTAGTGACTACACTGTATAGATTTTCCTGCTAGAGAATTCTATGTTCTTTCTGGAGAACTCAAAGCCAAAGGTCCACTGAAAAGTTCTGGGGAAGGAGCTGAGTGTCTGTCACAAAGTTCAATTCTCTGGAGGGTTCTCTCAGTTTTACAAGATTTAAAATCTTGTTTAACCGACATGTTAATGTATCAGGAAAATAGCAAGTTGCACATACATTTGTCATTCCTTTTAGCAGCTCTTCCACAACCAAGACACTGACGACACATTAGCTTGTCATCCGTTAAATACAAACTCCTCCAAACTGAAACATTCACTAGAAC